TCACATATAAATAATATTGTAAAAAATTGATCTGCATTATTTGTCACGCCGGGTACTTTGGTCAGTGCACTACGGTACTTCTTTTTATATATAGTATTATTTTGCACGAATATTAACGTTTATTTGAAGCGAGAGATGGCTTTCGTCGTAATTTTTTTTTATTACGTAGCGGTAGTGAAACGTTACGTTCTTAAAAGTAAAATTTATGTAATTGATTTACATAAGCCGTTGGATATTTAATTTCCTTTTAAGGTGTATATTTTACCTTTTTAATTGGTTGCATCTACCGGTACATGCTAGCACATGTAATCATAATTCTAAAAAAAAAAAATAAAAAAATAAAATAAAAAATCAAAATATATCAATTAATTTTTCTTCTCCAATTGAAATGGATGACAATATTTCTTCTAATAACCATAATAACCAAAATGGTACCGAAACAAAAGAAACACCGGGTGAACAGGTTAATCTTAGTAAAAGGACTTTGGCTTGGTTAAATGCTGACCAAAGTCCTTCTGAGAATGACGACATTCCGATTTGGCAAAAGACTATGTTGACCTATTTTTATTCGATGCTTGGAGAAGATTCACCTTCAAGTCCAGTTACTCGTACTCGTTCTCGTCGAGTTGAAGAACCTGAAAGTCCCTCGGAAACTCAATTATCGGCTCCTTACATTGAAGAACAGCGTCCTGAACATCCTGACTATATAAAACGTATCCCTACTCAAACAGAGTTAGACGAATCTCCAGAAACAACTGAGATAGAAGGTAGATTTCCTATATAATGTATCATATAATAAATTATATATTTTTACTTTAAATATGTAAATATATTATGTAGAATCTACACGAAAAAGAAATTTGAGAAAACGTTTTCATCATGTTATTAATATGGCAACCGTCAACTTAAGATTTTCAAAAGGTAATGGTAGACAATTACAAGAAATTGGTGAAGGTCGGAGTAATCTTACTACATCTTTAACTGTTGTACCATTTTTATGGTTAAGAAGAGATCATAAAGGGCGTAAAGCGGTATTAATTCTTTATATATGCCTATATATGTTGTGACGTATTCCTGACATTCTTTCGTCAGACATTTCAGGAATCGTCATTTTCGTTCTATCACTTTCAACTTATATTACCATTTGAATATCGGAAATCCAGCCTCCTGTCATTATCGATATGCTGAAAGTATGTTGACTTTCTTTTTTTTTTTTCATAGTAGGAAAAAAAAACGTGTATATATTAATCCCTACAATCATAATAATAATAATTTATCTAGCTTGCGATCACTGACTCTAAAAGAGATCCGTTATCACACAATTGGCTAAGTGTTTTCAGAATCGAATTAGCATACGGTGATGTCAAATGGGTAGTAAATCGAACTGGTTTTGATTTTATGAGTCTTCATGTTAATCTGACACGAAGATCTGAGTTTTCACGTTGGATACCAAAATTTCCTTCCGGAATTTCCAAATGGTTCAAATCTAAAATCTTTCATTCGAATGATACAAGTCATTCTGCTGCTCTTGAAAGACGAAAGGAATTAGAAACATATCTCATTAGTGTGATAAAAGAACTATGGTTTCATCTTCTTGTTTCTTATGAACTTTACGAATTTTTGGAACTTAGTGCGATTTCCATTACTAGAGATATGGGATGGAAAGGTAAAGAAGGTTATATGGAACACAAAGTTGAACGATTTAAACATCCTATTTGTTCAATTAGATTTGCAAACGAAAAGTGGGAACGAAGATGGATTATAGTTCGCGATTCGTATCCTTACTATAATTAAATATATGAGACAATATTGTCCACCTAGGGTATTATTTATGGAGAGCAAAATATAGTCAACTCTGGATATAATGAACTCAAAATTTTAAAATTTCATAATGCGGATCCAATCAAATTGCTTTATTTTCGTAATTTGATTGGATCCGCACACATGCATTCATGTGAAAAATAAACACTGGTTCAGTATAGAAAATGCCATGGGTCCTTAAGAAACATAGTAATTTTCTACCGGTGTATCAAAAGTCCCTATACGTAGTCACATTTCCTTTAGGTGACACTATATATAAAGATCATGATGATTATTATGAATATTGCATCGTGATCTCTATGAGTCACTTAAAAAAAAAAGGGTCCATGTTAGGGTTGTTAATGGAGTGCTCCAGTTAATAATAAAACATATAACCCACTCCGGAGCAATCCAGAAGCGGGTTATATGTTTTATTATAGTCTGGAGTACTCCATTAACAACCCTAGTCCATATATAGGGACTTTTGATACACCGGTATAACAATCTTTTTCCAGGACCGTCAGTTCGTTATAGCAAGAGTTGACTTTATACATATCTTTTATAAATGAGACCAAATTATACCATGCATTTAGAGAGAGTTTATACAGTAGTTAAATTAGTAGAGGGAGGTCTGGTATATATTTTTGGTTATATAATCCCTAATAATTTTATCATTATTAGATATATTGCCTTTTGTTCAAACATTAGTTCAACGACCCCTACGGATGTTTTTCTTATAGATAAACATTTTAAATGCAATAAATTGGCCCCACAAGGACTTTCTCATGTGTTACAATTTCATGAGCATATTGAAATCAAAAATAGTTCACGCCGAATTGAAATTAAAACTGATTCATATGTTTTAAAGGACTTTATGAATAGTATTGAAACTATTCAAAAATCTTCTCCATGGGTTAAACAGCATCAACACGATTCATTTGCTCCCATTAGAGAGAATGCAAAGGTTAAATGGTATGTCGATGGCAAAGATTATTTCTTTGCTGTGTCACAGGCTTTATTAGCTGCAAAATCGGAAATATATATTGAAGATTGGTGGTTGTCTCCCGAATTGGTGAGCTTTTCCTTAATTGTTTAATAATAAATTTTAAGTTTTTCTTTCATGTATACTAATTGTAGATTTTATTAATCAGTATCTTCGCCGACCGCCTTCTGAAAATGAAGAATTCCGGTTAGATAGGTTATTAACAAAGAAGGCTGAAGAAGGCGTGATGATTTACATTATTGTATATAAAGAAGTTTCTGTTGCTCTACCTTTGGATTCTCATCGTACCAAATTTTACCTTCAGGGGCTTCATAAAAATATTAAAGGTTTTTATCAAATTTGAGCTCAGAATATTTATTATCTCTATGTTAATTTATATATGTAAAACCCTTCAGTACAAAGACATCCTGATCATGGTATTGAAGGAACAATATTTTGGGCGGTAAGTCGATTTATTAAGCTTTTTGAATATACTTTTGCTAATGAGCTTACATCACTACTAATACTATTAATACTATTGATATATTTACATAGCATCATGAGGTAGTAGCTAATTTAATATTATGATTAATAATCATTTTATGAATTCTTTTTATTAGCTAAGCATGATTTGTTATCACCTAAATTTTTTTAGAAAATTGTAGTGGTTGACAGTCGTATAGCATTTATTGGTGGTTTAGATTTATGTTTTGGGCGTTATGATACTCATTCTCATGAGCTATCCGACTGGCCTCAAAATACGAAATGCCCAACAATATGGCCTGGTCAAGATTATTCAAATCCAAGAATAAAAGATTTTCAAAATGGTAAGGGTTTGGAATTTTTGTTAAATGACTAAATACAATTGTTACGTACGTTCATTTTCATTAATTTATAATAATTATTTCTGACATAATTTAAAATCAATAGTCGCTGATTATCAGAATGAAATAGTCGATAAATCCCGTTACCCACGTATGCCTTGGCACGATGTTTCCGTCGGCATGGCAAGTTTATCACGCTTATGGTTTTCTTTATTGATTGTAATTAATAGTTAGTTATGATTATTAGGTCGGTACACCAGCTCGTGACGTTGCCCGGCATTTTGTTCAAAGATGGAATTTCATTAAAGATAAAAAATCGTTTGAACGCGAATCATTGCCATTTTTGTTGCCGAAGGGTGAATATGTTAGCACCCGTGATGAATCCAGATTCAAGGGAACTTGTGATGTTCAAATTTTACGTAGTAGTGCAGTCTGGAGTATGGGAATTGAAGTCGAGGTAAAGAATATGATGTGCTACACATCTGGCTTTGTTTTATCAACTCTAAATTTTGTTAGAGAAAGCTTAATTTTAACTAGATGTTATTCATATAGCGTTCTATATACAGCGCATATCAACATTTAATCCGAAATGCTAAGCATTATATTTATATTGAAAATCAATTCTTTGGTAAGTTTTTTTTGAAAATTTTACTATTTTTTATGCTATGTGATATTAATTAATGTTTCTCTCTATCAGTTACATCAACAGAAGATGATCCAAATTATGCTGTTAAAAACAGGATTGGCAAGGTTGAAGTTTCTTACGTGAATTAAAAAATAATATGTAACTTTTAACTCATTAGTTTTTAAAATAGTCTATCGTTGAACGTGTAATAAAAGCACATCAAGATGGCGAGAAATTCCGTATTATTGTTATTATGCCTTTATTACCCGGGTTTGAGGCGGATTTAAATTCTAAAGATGCCGGAACGATTCGGTAATATATATTCATATTATTTGGGATCTTCGCTAGGAAAATGACCCTCCGAGGCTATGTTGATTTTGTGAATAAAAATTAAATTTGCCAACCATCTAGTCATCCAATTTGAATGAACTTTTTTGTAAATCTCAATTGAATCTACAAAATAAAAAAAAAAATTCATTCAAATTGTATGACTAGATGCAAATTTAATATTTATTCATAAAATCAACATAGCTTTGAAGGGTCATTTTCCTAGCAAAAATCACATTTATTTATTTGTTAATTGTTATTTGCATATTTTACACTTACATAAATATTGATTATAGCATGGTGATGCATTGGCAATATGTCTCAATTTGTCGAGGTGGTAAATCTATATTAGAACAAATAAAACGAGCTGATATAGAACCGGAAAACTACATATCATTTTTCGCATTGCGCGGCTATGACAAAATCAAACATAAGGTGCACGATCTTAGTACACCTAATGGTTTTATTAAAGATAAGCAGAATGAAGTGTTAGATGAATCGCAGCCATCACATCATGATGATATTAGTACAGATTCATACTCTGATGAACAAACGAAGTCTTCTTTAAAAGGAATCGGAGGCGAGCCAGGCATACCCGCTGGCATAATAGATACAGATCCAAAACATTCTTATATTACAGAAGAAATATATATTCATAGCAAGTTGATGATTGTTGATGATAAATACGTTATTATTGGTTCAGGTTTGTAAGCAAAATCAAATTATTTCCAAAGATACAATGTTAGAAAATTATAATTAATATAATTTAGTAATTGTTTTTTTAAATAGCCAATTTAAATGACAGATCACAACTAGGCAATCGTGATTCGGAAATAGCAATTCTTGTTGAAGATAAGCAGACGGTTCCAACACGCATGAATGGACAAGAGGTTTTATTTATTCTTAAAAAATCTATTTCATGTCTGATATATATGTGAATAATAATCATTGATCTTTTTTAGTACGAGGCATCAAAATTTGCATATACACTACGCAGCAATCTTTTCAAAGAATTTTTGGGTCTTATTAAACCTCAAGATCATGCAGCAGTTACCGAAAGCAGTTTAGCACCTATTCAACCTGACGTATTAAAGGAATTATTGCATGATAGGGATGCTTCATCCACATCAATATTGGATGAACTAATGACTGGTTCAGAGCCTAATCATCCTACGAAAGAAGACTTAATTGTTATGGATCCATTGTCCGATGAATTTTACAATTATTGGCAAAACATTGCACGAAATAATACTGCTATTTATAGATCAATTTTTAAATGCATCCCCGATGATAATGGTATGTTTTATCTTTGTTTTATTTATTCTCTATTACAACTATAATTATAATAACATATTATCAATAATTTATAAAGTCACTAATTGGAGCGAATATGAGAATTTTGTACCAAATCCAACAATCGTTGATAAAGGACAT